ATATATATATATATATGAGACAGAGGCAGAGACCAAGAGGCAGACATCAAGAGAGTGGGGGAAACGGAGCGGGAGACAGAGAAATAGAAGGAGACATTAACACATATGCAGAATGCACCCAGCTTTAACCCACAGCTTAGAGCGTTTGACGATGTTTTTTCATATCCTCCTCTGAGTCTCTCCCTCGTAAAGAGAGCAATTACATGTCCAGGACAATCCCACATTAAACAAACATTAGTTCTCTCTCCAGAGCCAGACTCAGCCAAATTACATTGTTTCCAGATGCCCATCACAAACCCACCCTCTCTCCAAACCCCCACCGCCCCATCTCCTCTCCTCTCCTCCTGCTCATTTCTCCTCTTTCTATTGTTCTTTTCTTCTCATGCCCTCTTTTTCTCTCCCTGTACTCCCCTAAACTTCCTCCCTTCCAAAGTTAAGATGAGGATTTGTTGTGAACAAGGCTGTTGTCAATTACACTACTAGGGTCAGAGATGGAGAAAATAAAGGCGTCGACCAGATGAGGATGGTCCTTCTTTTAGATGTCACATCTCCAAAGGTCATTATAACATAATAAGTCAGATAAGAAAAACTATGCATAAGATTTCAGTTTAAGATTCATTCTGATGCCAGAGGATAGAAATAATTGCTTGGCTAGCTAATATTTAGTACTATTAGTATAGTATTCCTTCAGTTCAAGAACCTTCCTTCCATATTTGCCTTTGTATCAAACATTTAACAAGCCATTTATTTTTCATCTACGATCTCCAATTACGATTCCTCCATTGATATGAACAAATGAACCAGATATTTGCTTTTCATGTATATTCTATATGCAAAGACAGTTTAAAAGGTCCAGTGTCTAACACTTAATAGGATTCATTGGCAGGAATTTAATATAATATTCATAGGTATGTTTTCATTAGTGTATAATCATACCTCAGAATGAGCCATTTTTATCTACAGTCATTGCGGGTCGCCTTCTGTGGCGGCCGCCTTGTTGAAGCACTAAGTTTATAAAGTAGCCCAGAACTGAATAACCTAAACTGTGTCTAGATAGGATGGTTTAAATTCTTCACGCTTTTCTTGGGGCCACCGCAGTTTTCTCCTTCGCACTTGGAAAGGGAGGGATAAGCCGGTGAGTTCCAACCTGTGCAACTACACCACTAGATGCGACAAAATCCTACACACTCGTCCTGTAAGGACTCATTGTCATACACATTCACTTAATAAGCATTCATGACAGAAGCTGACGAATATTGTATGTAAAATTCACTGCAGCATACTGTTCTGTTGTTACTTTTAGTCTTTTATTAAATTCACAAGTATTTGCTGCTTTCCTTTGTTTTATGAGATTAAAAAAATAATATCTCTAAGGTTTGTTGAGTGTTGCCTGGACAAAACAAGCTATGTGAAGTTGTCAAATTTGACTCTGGGAAATGGTGCTGGGTATTTTTTATTTTATTTTGTGACATTTTACGGACAGAAAATACAGATTAACTGATGATGCAACTATAAGTAGCAGCATCCCTACTGATTAGGTCTAGGGTGGCTAGTAAGAATAAAAAACCTGAGCAAGATTTCACACAGGCTGCCGAGTTGAGCACAATCAGTGTGATTCACAAAAGACAATAAATGATAAACAACCAGAATCAAGGCCAGGCTGGAAGGTCCCCTTCCCTCTGAACAAGGACCTTTCAGGCTTTATCAAGCACTCAAAAACACCACTCACTAAGACCAAGACGTTTACAACCAGATACATGGAAAAAGCAGATTGTGCACTTCTGTGTGAGCGCACATGAAATTCAACGACACAATTTATATTACTAGGTTGCTGTATGAGTGCACATGCTCGGAAGTTAAACCTTAGTTAAACCTCCTTTTAATCAAGAGAAGTCAATAAAGCTAAAAGTTGGCTTCCAGCTGTAAACTGTAGCCACAGGAACCCTTGTAGACATGGGAACCAATGTCACATTGAGTTAGTATAGTCTAAGCTCAAGGACAACAGCGGTATCAGAAAAGTTGACCAGCTCTGTCTTTAATGTGTATGACCCAGACTGGATGTCAGACACTATTCTAGGAAAAAGACCCTCGTTGTAAAATTCCCATGAAGTAACCACCCCGGAAATCTGCCATGTGCCCTTGAGCAACACACCGAAACTCTACCAAAAGCGGGAGTGCTGTTGTGCAGTAGACCTTGACGTTGACTTCTAACTGTGTGTAGTGTATTTATGTTGTTATTGTTGTCACTATTATTATACTTTGAAACAGCTGGCTGAAGTTCTATCTTTAACAAAGAAGATTTAATCATGGCAAAGTAATCCGTCTACGTGTCTTTCTTATTTTCAGTTATGTTATGTAGTGGGCGTTTATGCATGTATGTAAATAAAACAGCATTAAAATGGGCCCCGAAGGAAGGAAGCATCAAAACAAAGCTGTATAATTGCATTTTATATGTTTTTATGAGTGTGTGTATTTATGTGTGTGCATAAGTGTCTGTTTGTTAGGGGCCTCATCAGACAGTTGCAACACGGTTGAAGGAGCACTCAAAACACCTAAGGGCATCTATGGGGACCTCCTAATACATCTCCAACCCCCAAACAAACAACACACACACACACACACACACACACGCACAGACACACACACTTTGCAGACCATGCAAATCTAATGAGACAGCCAGACTGAAACACACACAGACAAACCTGAAGTTGCCTGAACACAAATACAATCATATACAGTCAATAGTCAGCAGAGTGCACTCATTGGTCAAATGTGGCTACTAGTAAGATCTATAGATACTTGATTGTATTGGGACACCATGATTCATTTATTGGTTTAGGCTCCACCAGTTAGTTACTGCTGTGGTGCTATTAAGATTTCAATTTCAGATTAACACTGATGTTTCAGAGAAATTTCAATATTACTTTGGTGCCACTGTGAATGACTGATTTTAACATTCAATTTTAGAATCGCTCAATACTTTCATCAAATATTATTATACAACTCCATTTCAGTTCAAATTAAATGTGTGGGACGTGGGCTGGAAAACTAATGAGAAGAAAACAAAGGATTGGAGTAGACAAAGCAACTCGGCAGTGAGCCTGCAGCAACAGACCTTACATTTGAGTGGCTGAAAATGTCGAAACAGCATCAAACTGTACACATCCTCAACCGATTCCCAGGGAGTACCTCAACTGGTCAACATAACTGGTGCCAAGAGCAACATGTAGACTTGTCTCAGTCTTTTATAGCAGACAAAGAGACATCAAAAACATGTCAAAGGCAGACCAAATCAAGTGTGGCAGCCTAAGGTATTATGTTTTTTCTTGTTTTCTTGTGTAGTATACCGAATTAAATAATGCTGACAACAGCTGATTAATACATTGGCTGATGAACTGAAAATATTTATTTTAATTTAGATGATAAACTATTAATGTGAATGATTTATTCACAAAGAAAATACAATGTATTTTGATGGTTGCAGCCTTGAATTTGAATGCTATGACTGCTGTTTTTTTTTAAAACCATTATAAAATGTTAGGGTAAAACAGCTAGGATTACTTAACATCAATACCACTATATCTGTATGCCAAATATGAAGCGTCAGCCAGCAGCTGGTGAGCGTAGCTTGGCATAAAGACAGGAAAATCCTGGCTCCGTCCAAAGTTAAGGAGTAGGAGTGGGTAAAAATATCGATTCATCAATGCATTGCAATATATTTTTTCCCAATTCAATATCGAATCATTAAATCTGAAAATCTGAATCGATTCAAGCCCCTGGCCAGTAGGGGCGCGGTGAGCCACACCTTTGTGTGATTTGCGTTGTACGGACGGAGGCCGCACTCGACCACACAACAACAACAACATGGCAACCGAAGCAGGTAGAAGCAGTGTTAAACCAGCACCTTCAACTTTAAAAGCAGACGTTTGGAGTCATTTTGGATTCCAGTGTAAACCCGGAACACAGGAAATAGACAAAAATAAGGTAGTGTGTAAGTTGTGCCAGGCAGTACTAAAATACTGCAATAACACAACAAATTTACGCAACTACTTAAGGCGACACCATGCAGATGCTCTGCAGCAACCCGCGGCTAAACCTGTGGATTCAAAACAGACGCAACTTGACAGATCCTTCCTTTGCAAACTGCCGCCAAACTCTGCCCGCGCACAGAAGATAACGGAGTCTGTGGCCGTCTTCATATGCAAGGACCTACGACTGTACAGTGTCGTGGAAAACAGGGGTTTTAAGAAGATGGTGTACACACTCGAACCACGATACGCAAACACATGACGAAAGTCGCCGTCCCGAAGCTTTTAAAATTATCAACAGGTACACTAATGAATTATTTGTGTAATTCTACTTATTACTGAATCGATATTGAAGCATTTAAATCAATATCGAATCGAAATTGAATCGAATTGTGACCTAAAGAATCAAAATCGAATCGAATCTTAACAATACCCAGCCCTAGTAAGGAGAAACTACGGTGGCCACGAAAAGCATGTAAAGACAGTTTTAGGTTTTCCATTCTGGGCTAATGTAGAAACATGGTGCTTCAAAATGGCGGCCAGCGCCGTCTGAAGATAAACATAGCTGATTCTAAGGTAACAAAAACATAATTCTTATTTTCAGGTGATGATACACTAATGAAAACATACCTATGAATATTATATTTCCATTTCTGCCAGTATATCTTCCTAAATGTTACACACTGAACCTTTAAGACAAACTTTTGGGCTATTGCAAATACTGATTTATCACTATCTTGAAAATAAAAAAAAATAAAGAAAATCAATAATTCTAAGTTTTTAAAAGATAAACTTGACAATATGAAAGTCAACATTCATGGTAATTCAAGTGCAAATTCCTGTAAGCTCACACTGTCGAAACTGTCCCAAATGCCTCTGTCAACTTCTGTACCTTATCCAAGTAGACATAATTTGGCAACTGCTAATAAACCGTGTGCAGACTGAGAGAAAGAGAGAGAGTGTGTTACTCACATAGTCGGGCAGGGCTGTGTTGTCTCCCTGTCTGCCTCTTAGAGACTGTGTTGCCTGCTCCAAAACCTTGTTGTGCTTTTTGGAAAGCAAAGCAAATAAACTGCAGGAGGGACACAGAGAGGGGAAAAATGAGTGAGCACAGCAACGACAGATGAATGATACTTCTGCAAAGACCGAAGAAACCAAATACACAGTCGTCACACTGCACATGTTGACCTGTAATTAATGTGCTGTAAAAACTACAAATAGTGGCCTTTATTCAGCTTAACTGGAGAGAGAAGCCTTTATTTAAGACAGATTATTATTAGAGAATGGCCTGTTTTGCTTTCTAAATGAGGCCTTTAAAATAATGAATAATAATTAGTCTTGGAATAACAAAATAATCATGAAACTGGCAGGAGACAGTTTTAGAAATGATGTGTCAAAATATTAAAAAAGATGCTTAATTTACCATTAATTTAAAATCCCGACTCCTTTTTCTAACGTGGCTTATATTTGCCTGAAGAGGCAACGGCCTTATTTACGGTTTCCAGTATTTGTACATGTTTGTTGCCATTGTAGGTGACAGACTGCTATTTGACCCACTGGTTAACTGACTTGCTTTCACCCTTATTGTATGTGTTTGTTTGTGTACGGTAGTCTGGATTGAATTGCATGTGATGGATGGACACAGACATACATAAAGAGTCCTAGAGTATGCTTGGGCGACCTTGGGTTGCGCACACACACACACACACACACACACACACACACACACACACACACACACACACACACACACACACACACACACACACACACACACACACACACACACACACACACACACACACACACACACACACACACACACACACACACACACACATTTAGAGTTGTTTTTAACTCACAAAGAACATACAAATAAATACAAAATACAAGTTTGACTACATTGGTTGTCTAAAACTTAAATATTTTTCTCTTGTTGAGGTCTTTATTACATCTTATCTATTACAGAGTCTTATTTCTTATTCATTGTGGTGTTTGTTACTATAATTATTGGTGACCTTCTGTTTTAATTACAACTTTTTAATAGTCTTTCTAGGTGCCCAAGGGTGTTGAATATTTAATTTATGTGTCAATCAAGGAAAAAAAAAAGTAGAATAAATTAAACTCATTGACAGCAAAGGGCTAGGGAAAGTCAGATGCATGAACACAGCTCGGCTAAGCCCCTTAGAGCTACACCTGTCCATCTGTCAGCATTAGAAAACACACACACAAAATCTCTCAGCATTCGTTATCCAGGGTAATTGGCCAAATGATAGCTGAATGGAGATATCTCAGCAGCTATGAGGGGGGGCTACTTGTTATCTACAGTCCTAATGTCAAAGGCCCTATTAGCCATGACTACTTAATAGGACCTGTTGTACTATCTAGACAGTTTTTTTTTCTATTTCAAATGAGAGACCACCGACCATGTTCCACCTGGGACTTTGCCCACAAGAAAGCACTGTGACTAGATGGTCTGTCACATCCCTCATTTATACCGAGGCAGTGACTGACATGGCCCAGGAAACAGACACAGAAGGATTTCCACACTGCTGATCTGATCTCAAAATAAATTATGAGGCTGAGTTAATGACAGATATGGTCCACCCCGACACATTGAAGATGTAAAGGTGCTCTGTCTCTACTAGTTCAAAGGACTCTTTTTTTCAGCTGGACACAACACACAGAGTGTGGTTGTGCCCTTCTTCGAAAACTGTACTTGAACATTTCTATGTGTGAAAAATTGTACGCTTGTAAAAGTGTGTCATACCATATAGCGTTGCTTGGGACGTACTTTTTCAATGTTTTAAAACATCTGCCTTTAAGTGTTGATGCTTTATGTTTGGCTCCGTCAGCAGAATTGTCAACTTCAGTTGTCAGCTTGATTTTGATCATAAGTAATATAATCATAATAAATGCACATGTGCAGCTGTCCATATTTACAACAATGGTGTATAAGAGAATTTTACTTGGAAACTATAGGTGCAAATTACAACAAACACCAAATCTTATGTGAGCGGCAACATGACCTGAACACTTAGACACAAAAGAAGGTACAGCAAAAGCTCTTTCTATCTAATCACAGCGTTTCTTTTCTTCAATATGCCGGTTTGTCCCAAACAACAAATGATGTTCAAATCTTTTACACCTTAAGCAAGTGTAAACATTTTTCACTGCTAAAATTATCAAATGACTCTACTACTATATGAAACTAATATTTGAATAATATTCAAATACAATTTGATCAATAGCAACTATATATATTTTTTAAAATATATTTTTTGGGCGTTTTATGCCTTTATTTTTGATTGGAGATGTAAAGATAGACAGGAAAGGGGGGATAGATAAATCCTATGTATGTTTTTGCTGTCAGACGAAACAATCGCTGACATTTTTTACATCAAGAATTGTTAGTTGCAGTGCTGCTGTGAACTGAACTGCATCTGTTGAGCCTGCAAACATTAAAGAAATCAGTGAACGAACGGGTGCATGACGCATTGAGCATGCCTGGTGACAGAAGAGACTGTGGATACGGAGGGCAGAGGTGAGAGAGGGAGGAACAATGTAGCAGAAATGGAATATTGATGGAGAGAGAGGATGAATAGAAAAGGTGGTGGTGCAGGCAGTTTAAACCCACTGCTGCAAATAAACAACACCAACTGCAATTCTCTCTGAGAGTCAATTGAGGAGCAGAGTTCAGCACTGCCTGGCAGATATTTGGAAATTCCTGGCAGGAAATTCCCTTTATCTAGCCAGACAGCCAGCCAGCCAGTTTAGCCCAGCCCTGGCCATCATAGTCATCATCATTATCATTATCGTCAGACATGGAGTCAGTTGCTCTACATCACTACAGCACAGACATGCACACATTCACAGACAGTGTGCCTCTCTGACTCAAAACACCAGAGAGTCACAGATATGGAGAGAGACACAGGCAGGGGGATAAGAAGATCCTTGAGTGTGCGTGAATAATGTGTGCACGTCTTAAGGGAAGAAAACATTCCTCTTCCCGTGGGCCTGGGGTTCACAAACAGACATGAATGACTTGATGTGTGTGTGTGTGTGTGTGTGTGTGTGTGTGTGTGTGTGTGTGTGTGTGTGTGTGTGTGTGTGTGTGTGTGTGTGTTTTGGACTGCTCAAGTCTTTCGTCTGCTCATGGCCAGTTCCCTCATCTTACATAATGTTCCTCACTACACAGGCACACCACTCACTCAATATTTCATTGCTTAGTCTCTTCTGCTGAAGCCACTGCCAAGTTACTGTAACAAAAAATATTTTGTGCTGATTCAATATGAATCATTAAAATTGTGACTTGTGTGTCATCCGTCTCTCTTGAAGTTGAAATACATACCAGCGAAGTGTGATATACTCTATATGTACTTATACTGTTGATTTCAGGACACCAGACTAGGAAGCACATTAAGCAGAGCTGCTAAGGCTGGACTATGTGACAGTACCGTGAGACAATATTGTGTACTTTTCAATGTTGTCATATTATTTATACTGTGGTAGTTATGTTTAATTAATCATCCCTAGGTATAATAGACTGTTTTTGGAAAGGTTAAAAATCAATGAGCGGGATTCTTTTAAGGCAAAACTGGATTTTTGTATGCACTTTGTGATGAAGTACTTTCATGTCAGCTGTTTAATTAACTGAATTTGCCCAAAACCCTCATTCCTGTCAGTTATTTTATCCATTAACAATATCTCAATTTGTTATCAAAATATGCAGCAATATTTTAATGTAAAACAATATATACACCGGAGGATTTTATCCATATCAAACCATCACTAGTTGGAGGATATAAAGACTGTCAAATATAAAAGTCAAGCTCCAGATTCTTATTTAAAGATAACATACTCAGTGTCAAACAGGCAAAATACACAGTATATATAGACATGGTCATGTTGACCCATTATTTGACAAGTTTACCTTTTATTTCAAACCACTTTTAATATCCTTCCAAAAGGATAAATTTACTAGAATAAAACAAAAGCTGGAATATACTATATAGAGAATGGATAGATGGATGGATGGATGGATGGATGGAAGAAAGAAGCTACCAATTAACATGTTCCATCATCAACTTTCCTGCTCTGTCTGCTATGTCACTTGTACACCTATAATATGTCCTCACCTGATGATGCGCTGGGCAGCGTACTGGTGGAGACAACGAAACTGGGCTGACATGTTGGCAAGTGCAGCCAGACAGTTGGTGTGGAGGTACTTATCCTAGAGGGAATGCACACACAAGCATACATGTTACCTGATGTTACCTGTAGGTTACTCCGTTATTTCAATCTTTTTCTATTTGGGTATGGAAAAGTGTCTACAATTGATGGATTTCTGAATGGATAGCTGTTTGCTTTGCAAGTGCACAAACGTACCCTTGTTCGGGTCATGTTGAATTGGATGGTGCGGATGACCACCAGGATGAGCAAACTACCAAGTGAGATCTCAGTCAATGACCTCTCTGTGTACCATGAGATGTTCTTCAATATCTATTAAGGGAGAGACACAGAAATGAGACATCAGGAATTATTATCCCAGCAATTACAGGTAATGGAAGGCTGCAAAGGCAATACCGGAAATGTGAACATTGTGTATTAAACTGTGTCTACTCACCACCTCGTGGATTGAGCGATTGAAGGCATCGTCCTCTGTAAGGATGAGCAGAATAATGAGGGCCATGTAGACATGATGAGAATTTCTGTCCTCCACGTGGTAAAGGATCTCGAGGATGGGCAACACCTGAGATGAAGAGAGGGAGAGCAAGAGAAAGAGGTTGAACATATGCGTAAGTGTTGTCACAGAAGTGTCATTCATTATATCCTTGTTACAAGATTTCTGATTCTGAGTGGATCCACCACTGCAGTGTGTGCATTCGTCGAAAGAGCAAATTAGCCATGTCCAAGCTAGAACACTGCACACACTTTTAGACTATCGGGGTGTTTAACATTCCTTTTCTTTTCGGAGCAAAACTGAAGGGACTGTGGGCTTTGCCACAGCTCAGCGAAGCTAACCATCAATTATATTCATTGGTCCTTATGACTATTTAACCACTGTTTCTCTCTCATTTTGGTGCCCATGACTGTGTCAGAATTTGTGGATGGAGGAAGCTTTTTGTGTCTTGTCAGGAGGCTCTGTTGAAATCTATCAAGTAACCCACAAGTAGAACACATTATTACTTGTGCTACACACAGCTGTCGCTATAAGAGTGTTTCCACCTGTTCTGCAAACTGGGTATCAGGTAGAAGAGAAAAACAAAACAAAACTGGAAAACAAGCTCTGCAGATGATAGTTGAGAAGACAACAGTGTACATAATCATGGCTGCTAAACTATAGGTGTAGGCAGATGTTACATTCTGAACGTATACAGAACAGATGGTAATTGGCTGATGACAACAGTGTGCAAAAGATTTAATTGTCAGGATCATACTGTTGGGAGTGAAAGCAGTTAGTAGCTTGCATGGTGAGTGATGAACACACGCAATTGAGGAGTTAGCTCATTACACTGTCGTGCAGCAGTGCTTTATTGCTCAGCTGAGAAAGTGGCTAGACTCATTAGCAGTCCCCCTACATAATAAGCTCAATCTATATCTGCTAATGATGATATTTTATTATAGCAGCTATAAATAGGGAATAACACAGAAATGTCATACTGATATTAAACCTTAGAAATTAAAATTACCTGCAGTTTGAAAATATGAATGTAAATTAAAGTCATTTCCTGCACATTTGGCTATTATCATGAATTTATAGTGGTTATAAATAAAACCTCTTTTTAAACCTGGTACAAAGGCTAAACTGATATACACTACTTTAACTCAGACTTCCACACCTATCTAATAAGACCAAATGATTTAGTGTTACACTGTGTGAAAGAGCCTCATATGTTACTGCCTACCATACTCATGTGTGATACCATCAGACATACTGAACTAAAGACTGATTTTCATTCACTAAACGCCTCTGTACATTCACTCTGCTATAAGGAAGAGCTGGCACTGTCCCACATGGGCAGAATAGCACCAGCTGCCACTGCATACATCCTTGCTCTTTACTGGGCTATATCATTGGTCCTAGATGAAAGGATTTCATGGCCATACCCATGTGTGCAAGGAAGTACTGTATAATGTGTTTAGTTGAGAATTACCCAATCCTACTTTGATTCATTTCCAACAGTGTTCTTTTCTTTCGCCTTGTCAATAAACTATACAAAAATGTCAGATTGAGACAGGAATAATGAATGTGCATGCATTTGTCTTCATTGTTATCATACCCACCAAATTGTCCATGTCAGTCCTGGAGAGCATATAGGTCCTCATGTTGGCATTCTGGTGGAGGAGGGTGTACAGTAGTAGTGTGGCCTGGTCAGAACGCTGCTGCTCACACAGCGCTGTGTACAGACTGTTGAAATTGATCTGAAACGTGTGAGGTTGCTCCGCGGACAGCGACGATGTGTCTACATGGGCAGAGGTAAATATTATCAGGGTTATTATTCTATTACTTAATTACCCTTTGGTACATGTCACAAGCATGAACAACCTGCAAATATTTACAATGGATTAAATCAACAAACAGATTACCTTGCGTGTTTCTGAAACAAGTAATAGCCTGGCGGTAAGGGTTTGGCCAGTCCGGTCCATCTGTCAGATTGGCTAGGACCAGCAGTAACAGAAGGCTCTGGTTAGACAAAGGTAAAGGGTTGTGCTCCTGGTCTATCCCGACTTTGCTGCCAGCTCCACCCAAGGTGAAGACGCTCCACAGCCCACCTGGAGACAGACAGACAAATAGTACACAGATAGAAAAACACACACACACACACACACACACAAAAAAAAACACACACAAACACAAAAAAAAAAAAAACACAAAAACAAAAACACACACACACACACACACACACACACACACACACACACACACAAAAAAGGTCTTATTTTACTTCCCATTACTTTTTTTGCTGTATTATTATACATAACATATTTCTGCAACCTGCAATAACAGATTTTTTTGGCCAGTGGCAAGAGTGAACCCTCTCAAACACACCTTTACTGGTGGTGTCTCGGTTTCAGCACATAGTTTCAGGAGTGGACAGAGAACTGCAGCTCTCTGTTTCAGTACAACAGATGGGTAATTGTGCAGGATCCAGTAATGAAGAGCAGTCAGGCTGCATATGTCAACCTCTTTATAGAAAGCACTAAAGTATTCTCACAATTGGCAGCTCTTCAGCCTTATAACTGACTTATGCTTCATGGGGAAATGAAGGCAAAAGCGTATGTGCAGTCAGATTGATGTAATCTAGGCTAAAATTGGCACAATGGAGTCACGCACGATGGTTTGCACCTGAAATTTGAAACAACATAGACGGCGCCACAGAACAAAGAGAAATTGGAACTACTGGCTAACTGGACTGGTTCGTTTTTCTTGTTTGGGGATGAGAGGGAGCTGAATTTTCTACTAGAGCTGCTGAAGTGCTGATGCTTTCAAGCGTCACAAGAAGCATGAACACCAAGGTACACAGATGACAGTCTCTGGCTCCTGCACGTCTAGCCACACAGAATGCACGAAACAAGCACTAGTGAGAGACAGGGTGAGTGTGCTGCAGGTCAACACTGATCAAGCGTCTGAATTTGAGGAGAAGCCAAGTAGAGTTGTTGCCATCTAGTGGTGAAGGATGTAACAGCAGATACATGTCTATACACTCTCCTCGATGTGAGAGTAATGTCAGTAAGGCATCCTGATCCATTCAGCTATGACACACTCGCATCATCTGTTTACGTGGTTGCTAAACGAAAAAAGTCAAGCAAACAAGGAGACACTAGTTCAAAACATTATATGGGTGAAATGATGCATGCATCCTGGGGTTGTGTTTAGATGGTAACTCCAGAGTTGCAAAAACTCTTGCAAGATTTGTACACATTGTTTCTTCACTGTGTGTGTTGTTTGTCATTACAACCAGCTGAATAGACTACACTGTAGTTTAGATTTAAGATTACCCTGCATAGCCACAATTAGTCATGTAGCCCACTACAACAGGATGATGTGTCACTTTGGGCCTTATGTGCAAATGTCTACAATGGCGGGTCTCTGCTGATTGCACTTTCCATTTATCTGACATCTAGGCCAAGGGACAAGGATGAGGAAGCATTTCTAGTGCACCGATTTCTGTTCTTATAAATGTTTTGTCGCCATATAGCCTACTATTGCTTATGTCTGGCTTTATGTATAGTCTAAGAGGATGTTAAGTGTTTAGAGTACATATGTAAAGTAATACAGACACAGACATTATTACAATACAGCAACAACATTTATATTATATTTTTGTTAGCACATGCAGAATCAAATGCTACTGTGCTGAATCTACTGTGCATGAGCGAGAGTTTTGCAAATCTTCCATCTATACACAACCACATCCTTAATACAATTAACTCAAAGAGAAAATGGAGTGTCACATCCCAGTGTCTTCTCCTTGTACTTTTTTGAAAGTAAAGGAAACAGATTAAAAGAAAATTGTATTAAGATGTATAATGAAGAATATGAAGTGAAGGCTTTTTCCTCTAAGACTTTTTCTTGAACAACTTGTCACTGTTTAAATTCTTGGTAACATCCATGGTTTATATCTTGGTTTGCCTTTAAATTCACTAATGGCTAGTAAAGAGGTACTCCAAAACTCAGTGGACTGTGTGTGTATATAAAAGTGTATGCAATCCTGGTGAGGATGGGAACTAAAATGTTTATATTTGAGCAAAAGGACATCAACAACAAAAAGAAATCCCCATGAGAGAAATGACCCAATTTGCATTTGGTGAGTCTTTTTCTACACACGATACTCTTCTCTAGTGCTACTGCTCAAAAAGGGAAGTGAGTGTGAGAGAAAACAAGATCTAGAGACAGGGCCAAGTTGTGACGGAGCCCTGTTCATCTCATCACTGGCACCACAATGACTAGCCCAACAGTGTCAGAGAGCCCGGGGTCTGGCAGCCACATTTCCTGCACTCTTAGACACACACACACACACACACACACACACACACACACACACACACACACACACACACACACACACACACACACACACACACACACACACACACACACACACACACACACACACACACACACACACACACACACACACACAGCTCTATTTTACCTTAGTGGGTGCTGTTTGTTATCCGTCTGGCTGGGTTCCCTCTGCCTGTCTGCCTGCCCACCACATAAACCCAATAATGCTACACTGCTTAGGCTGCTCTGGCTCTGGCCAGCCGCCCAGTGGAAAAAGAGGAGGAGGACATGAAGAGGAGGAAAGGGAAGGGGAAAGTGAGGAAAAGAGAAGGTCATGCTCGGACACAGAGGCTGGCACGCTGAATTCAGAATTTGGGCTTTAGGACTCGGGGGCTGTGAAGGCATCGTACTGTGAGACACGCAACACCACTGCGCCCACAAAGTCTTACTTAACTTGAGTGTATATCCGCAATAACCTTTGAAATTGATTATTTTCATCTGTGAAAACTCTTCCTGACCTACACATCCTTACAGGTCTCCTGATAATATTTAAACACTGTAGACACACACACTGTTTTGCAACAGAAAATTAGCTTTAAATGGTTGAATAAGCCTTGGTTTTAGGACAGAAGGCTGTGATGTGCAAATTGTACTCTTACATAATGACCACCACCATCAGACATGACTGCTGGCACAAAGTCAATTGCTGTATTCAAACTTAAATATCTCCACCCAATATCTGCAGACTCTTTTCTAAACAACTATCCCTCCTAAATCCACATCTGTCCCCTGACATCTATTTCACCCGATCCTGACCCTGTACCAAATCCAGATTCATATCATGGGTGTCATCAAAACAAACACACTCACTCCAGTGAGGCACTTAATGATGCCGCAGTTATTAGACTGTTGATTGGGGGAATATTATTACTTTTAATTTCTTTCAGCAGCTCTGCAATACTTCTTATTTCCAGTCTGAGTTATTACAGTACGTACCCGCTAATCTTTGATGAATGTTTACTTAATTTTCTGTTGAATCAATTCACTCTGCTAAAAGTCAAAATACAATCACAATAACACACTCCTCTATGCCTATGGTTATGATACACACAGTATTACAATGATAAGTAAAGGATAAATGTATTTGGTCCTATTTCAGCATAACATACAGACTAGCAGTTGCAATCAGATGATTGCTAGAAATAAGAAACGGAGTAAATAACTGGAATTACATAAAATTATTAGAACATAATAGAGCTCAGTTCTTTCTTTCTTTGGTGGTGAATTTAAATCCACATCTGGACATTTGCCTTAAAAAACGATGTGGTTCTGTATTTGGCACAGCTGCTTTCCGTCAACAATGCTCCCAAATGACGGTGTTCACATTCTGATGCTAAGCAGGTAATATTGACCATATTCACCATCTCAGTCTATGCTAACATTTGCTAATTAGCACTAAACACAAAGTACAACGGGGGCTGATGGGAATTTCATTAGTTTCAGGTCAAAAAGCATAAAAAGTATTGGACCAATTAAAATTGTGAAATGATGATGGCGCTTGATGAAAAGTCAGGGGATCACCAAGTCATTAGGACATATCATCTGGGAACCATTAATGTCTGCGCAAGATTTTGTGCTAATTCATAGAAATAAATACTTTCTTATGCTGGTGGCACTAAGGGAAAAGTCAGAGGATCGTCAGTTCGATCCTCTGGGTAACTACAATGAATATCTGTACACAATCTCATGGCATGGTTTGTTCAATGCAACATACACTTGAACACCACTGTGAACATCTCAGTGGCTTGTGGGAGACACTAGAGAGGGGAGCTGAGATGGGAAATATTTTCTCAGTTACAGCTGAGAACATACACTTCAGTGCAGACAGAGATGTGAACAGCCGGTGAACAGAGACAGACAGAATGTGCTACTTACTTGCATAACAGTGACTGAAATATGACATCAGGGCTACGGGCCAATGCTTTGGCCAAGCACGCAGATACACACACAAGTACACCAAACTCGTGGTGATTATCCAAAAATGCACATGGGGAAACATGCTCTACAGACAATAAACAAACACACTATTCTGATAATCTCACACAAATCAAAATATATGCTCAAAGCACTTTTACCCAAACCAAATCCAAAACCCTTCTAACATAAACATATACAAAACATGAGAACATTCCACAGACGTAGAATGATTTTGTAACACTTTATCAGAAAAATACTAGGGCTAAAACATCCAATGAATGTTCTAATACCCTTTCCGAAGTGTGCTATTGGAGTGAGCACGTAACCCACATACATGTAGACATAACAAGGTATATAGTCACCAGCTGATTATCAGTCGATTGGGTCCCCTGCCCTTGAACTGTAAGGGTTAGTAAGTAGAGTTACCATTAACTTCTCTACAGCAGCAATGTGCAAGATGAGGATTGCACAGGAATTACCTTTATGCGTGTCTGCTTGTAGGCAGATGGATGACTCAACTAGTTAAAAACATAGACTGCATCCAAAAAGTACATTTGAGAGGAGAAGAGAGTAGAGAAGAGCAGAATAGAGGAGAATGGAGAATAAGATAGGGGAGGAGAGATGAGTAAAGTAGAATGGAACAGAGTAGAACAGTAAGAGTAAAGCTGAGTCAAGTCAAATAGAGAGGAGTGTAGTGAGGAGAGTAGAGAACAACAAAGGAGTGGAGAGCATATTAAAGGAGAATGGAGGTGAGGAGAGTAAAGCAGAATGAAGTAGAGTAGAATAGAGGAAGACTTGAGTCGAGTCAAGTGCAATAGAGAAGAGGAGAGCAGAGAGGAGAAGAGGGGCGTTAAGTTGAGTGGTGCGGAGTAGGGTTGTGTAGTGTGAAACAGAAGTGAGGAATAAAGAGAGTAAAGTAGAGTAGAAGATCAGAGTGGAGTAGAGTAGAGTAAAACCTTCTGAGTTGCCAGTCTGGGTGATAATCCCCCCTGCAGACGCTTGCTCAGACTCAGACAGCAGAGTGTGAAAGCATGAGAAGAAGAGACATCCTATCCCCCAGACGTTAAAATGCAGACTGAAATCAAGCACTGCTTTTCATTGCCAATGACCAGTGTTCGGTTCTGGGGAAAATCCAGCCCGTCTATGAATGTCAGTGTGTAGACATGAGCGATTTTACATGCTACTAATATGAGTGATTTTGATTTCTAATAAAAGCAAGGTGGTTTAAAGGAAAGTGCCGTAGTGTAATCTAGTCAAGAGCACTGTATGTGCAGTGTTTCAAGGTTTTTGGTCCTAAACTACAAATTGTACATACTTAACATTTGCTTTTATGTATTTCCAGGCAGCCAATGGGTTCCTTATTTCACTCATTTCTGTACGGAATCAAAATAAATGAATAAACTCTGGACTGTTTTTTGCTATTCACTATTTCGCATTATTGTTGTGAGCTAATGTAATTGAACAACAATAACGTAACTTTGACAATGCTGATGTCATGTACACTGAGATGGATTACATGACATGTTTCAGGGGTCAATCATTTATTTCCATGCCACACAGACACTAATGGAAACCAATGGATATGATGATTTGTTAGCTAAAACATGGACAACCACTGGTATACTCCTACTTCTATAAAAGGGGCACTCCAATGGTGGAAGGTGAGATATTCTGACTTTTAGTCTTTAGTATGATAGTGACTAGTCCCCTTCTTATAAGCTCAATATTTTTCCATCTTGCAAAGTTGAAGAAATTCAACTGATTTTTACTGTTATTATAGAACACCCTCCTTGCATACACCCATTTTCAACATTCAAATTAAAATGTACTTTATGTGCACTCTGTCAATCCTAGATGACAGTGTGCTTGCGAGACAGAGAGACAGAGAAAGAAAACAAGTGTTGTTTCTGAGCTCAGAGTATAAGAGCGCTTGTGTCTTTGTTGGTCTGTGCGTGTGTGTATAAGGGAGGCGGCTGCAGACAGACAGGCTCTGGGGGATTACAGAACAGGACAGGGCACCATAACTCATCGGTCCGATCACTGGCCACAGACAGACAGGCTGGGGTGAATGCTGATGGCTCACTGATAGGAATCTGCCACCAACAACCGACAAAGAGCATTTATCTGCGGGGGAAACCCAGCCCTATTCTCACACTCAAACAAACATGCACTCAACACACACACACACACACAGACACACAGAGCACATTACCAGTCATATACACACGCAGTTCATTTTTGACTCATTACTTCCATCCACGCTGCCATGGCTGTCTGCGTGTCTCGCACTTTCATTTTTCAGATTAATCATATTTCTCACTTGTAGGCTCAGTGGAAAAAGGAAAGCACAACAAAAACAAACTCTTTTTTACTATCTGGCTTTTCATTTTCTAATTCAACAATCATTCTTATAATTTTTGATAACATTTCTACTCACCAGCTTAATTTTGATGTGGGTGATGTATCGACATCACTACAACATGAGTGGTAAAAAGATTATTTTTTACAATTTTACCTAAGTCAATGTTGCCTGGCTTAAAATACATCTAAGGGGTCAGAAGATGATTAAAATAATGAGAGAGAAGAGCATTTATTACTCTTACACAACATTAGGTTGATTCATTGCTTCCCCCAGGCTAACAGTTTAAGACGGGGTGTGGAGGACGCTCGTTGTTAATGACGTAGCCTATCAGAATGATCAAAAACAACATGGTAACGAATGACATGAACACCAACTTGTATGTTTACTGCTGTTCACTGTTGCTTTACCTGGTCCATGCTGGTAAAATAAACACTGTATCTGCGTCAGAGAACGTCTCTTTGTTTTTCTCTGCAGAGCAGTGTGCCTGTCAGTGAGCTGCACAGGAGGGGCAGAGCGAGGGGGGACTGTCCACTAGTTAATCATTCATGGATACTTGTACTGTGAGTAAGAGATGCTTTGTTAAATTCTTTAACATCTGCAAAACACAATATTAGAGAGGGGGAAATGATGGCGGGGGAAATTAGAAAGTGGCGGGCTGCCATAGTCTAGGTAATTAATGGGAAACACTGGTTGATTTTTCTCTATTTTTCCTTAACTGAAACAATCTTAGAAGGAAGCTGCTCACCAATCATGTCCACACATAACCTATGACCTATGGGTCACAAGCCAAAAAGGATGGGAACCACTGATGTAAGCTATATAGTTTGGAGGAAATACAGCTACTTTCATTCCAAGACCACAGCAATTGTAGCGGTGAGTACAATTTTATCAGAACCAATATGAATGACTGCCAAAATTATGATATAGTTTGTGGTTTCCTTTTGTTTTATTTGTGTGCTGATGTGTGTACACGTACTTGCCACCCCAGATGCCAGGCCATAAAGCAGGCCTCCCTCATCTTTCGGCTCAAATATGTGGGTAGCTGGAGGTGGACATTTCTCTTGCCTGATGAAGTTATAGAGCAGGGTCTTCACCAGTCGACTGGTTAGACATAAACTGGAGAAAAGAGAGAAAAGTTTAAAAAAAAGAGGTTAAAAAAGACAGCAGTATTATCAGGAATGTTAAATATCTGAGTCATTAATAAAAAGGTTACAGGGAATTTTAAATTTTGATTTGATGTCAATTTATTATCAGATTTCTCTGAAATTTCTTTTGCACCAGAGGGGTACACAGTGGATTGCTGCAGCACAATCAGTTTCATTGCTTTCCCATTGCCTGTTTCTGATTCTGAGCTCAGCAGCAAAGGTTTTCAAAATAAAAGCACTGAGGTGATCTAGTCCTGTGGCTCTCCTCTGATTTCCTTGCCTGCTCAACAGAAACATCACTTCTATCTGACATAAAACCAAATTAACAATTTTAATTTTAACATAATGGTTTCCCTTATCAAACCTAGAGAAATAAATGTTTAATTCATTAAATGTTCACTTGCAAACTCATATTCTGCCACTACTGCTTTCTGAGTAAAAACCCCAGACACAGGACTTGTTTGAACATATAAACGTGTGTGTGTGTGTGTGTGTGTGTGTGTGTGTGTGTGTGTGTGTGTGTGTGTGTGTGTGTGTGTGTGTGTGTGTGTGTGTCTGAGATCCTTTTCTCAGTCCACATAAGTCCATATCAGGTATCAATTTGATACTCAGCTCTCTCCCAGTGAGTGACATACACATAATTGGTGGTACAATATCCAATATCATTGCTTTTCCAGTTACACACAGCCTTGCTTCCTCAACAGACCAAATGGTAGAACCATTTAAGATTGCCTTCTAATCTGTTTTGCCAACATCAGCTACTTGGAATCCTTTCTTCAGCTCCATGGCAATTAATCCAAAGTGCTCTCGTTTGGCTCTTATGCTGTGAGAGCCCTAAAAGAAAATTACTTCCACGCTCTGTCCACCCATCTTAACTGCACTACTAGACTTCAAAATACATTCAGTGTTACAGCTTTTATCTGCATTTATTAATACTTCAGATAACAATGATTTAGGAAAAGTTCAAACCATTTACGAGTCGACATCAGAGCGTTAACTGTTGCTTTGATTTTATCCCGATCCTATCGCCACATTTAAAGTTTGGTATTATCAAGATTATTTATTATCGTAATAATACAGACTAGGTGGTTAATTTTCCCTCAGAATCACAGACCACAAGGTCACAGTGGAGACAAAGGTCTTGGTTGACTCAATTTGTTTCTTTTTTTCCTTTTGGCATCAAATGAATAGAACATGAAGACATTGTTTGGAACATGATGAGATTGACTGGAAGCACAGAGAGAGGCTAACTGTATCAGAGTCTGGATACTGGAGGAACAGTAGGCTGGATCAGACGTTGTCACATTGGATTGGAGAAGTTCCAAAATGATCTGGGCCTGTGTTCAAAACAGTTGTGAACAGATTGTAGACGACCCACTGGCAAACCGGCATGTTTGTTCCACCTTTATGTGTTTGTTTTACATTTTATACTTCTATTTTTAATGCAAACTTGATTTTGATAAGGGTAAAGTTTAGCCATTCCAGTTATTGTTTGTTACAAGTTAAAGGCAGTCTGTGTGTGTGTGTGTGTGTGTGTGTGTGTGTGTGTGTGTGTGTGTGTGTGTGTGTGTGTGTGTGTGTGTTTTCTCACCATCGTCCCTTCATAATGTGCTGGTAGATTAATCCATCTCGGAGGATGTCTTTGTGGAAGAGCTGATAGGAGAAGAATACCAGCAGCGTGGTCACCGCTTCAAACAGGATGCTGTAGGTGATGTCACTACAGGAAAACACAGGTGCATGTAGACGTTAATATAAATAAATTATAGTTTATTGTTTATTCTAGATGCAGAGGAATGGTCTGATGATAATCATTTTTATGACATGTTGCATTTCGGGATGCAGATTATTTGCAGTGGTGATATGCTGTACATTAACACCACTTTATAAAGGGGATACTAAGGCAATATGATTTCCAAGTGGAAATATAGTTCTATTGAAATCTGTCTTTATTTTAAAATTAAGCCACAAAAAGGTTTCTCCTTAACCTACAATTGAAGTACAGATGTCTGTTAGGGATTTGGGGGAGCTAACCAAAAGAATGGTAATATTCCCATCCAAACCAGGAGCACGTAGAGAGGAAATGGGCCCATAGCCACAAAGTGGTGGAGGGAAGAAAAACAGGTAGAGTCTTGAAGCTTGGAACAATGAATAATGTTGGAACGCTGAATGCATTTACACAAGAGCCAGGGTTTGATGTCTGGAGACAACAGAAGAGACAGAGAGAGGAAGAGGAGGGAGGAGGGAGAAAGAGAAAGTAGATTGGTAGAAAGAGAAAGAACGACGTCAAGAATGACACAATACAGACAAGGGAAGAGAGAGGAAAAGTGGAAGATGCTGCGTCAAGGAAATAACGGTTGTCAGTCATGTTTCTGTGAACTTGTTTTGACACGGCAGAGGAGATTTTGTCTACAGAGACGTACATACTGTATCGTTGTTTCTCTGTGACAGACTGAGTGGCAGGCAGGAGATAATTCCACCACTGATAAGTAAATACACTGAAATATTCACTCATTAAAGCAGAGTGTGTTAGCGTGTACACCGCCTACGGAGAGTAAAGGCTCATACCATTTTTCAATCATTATGTTCCCTCTTCACCCACTCACTGGCACCGCTCCTAATCCAACTTTTATTTCAAGCCTTTTTCTCTTCTACAACCAACACTTGGTCTCTTTCTTTATTTCTACTCTGTTAGTCATATCCCTTCCCTTTTTTTATTTTTCATCACATTGCCAGCTCAGGGTCAGTATTTCTTTCAAGCTGAGGACTCTGCAGGTGAAACATATGGACATCTGAGCCCAACCCTGTTCCATAATGCATTTCAGCTTCTCTTGGTTAGAGAACCAGGGAGTGGAGGGGCAAGTGGAGCATGCAAAGAGAAAGTTACACATAAAAACATTTCACAAACTGCTTTTCATTAACTGCTTAATGACTAACATCCTAGACACTTTAACAACCAACAAACACGAATAAAAACAAGGAACTCAAACTAAACAATGGGCTGGGCTGGGCTGAGAAACTGCACACAAATTGCCAATACTTGATGTTTTCCTGTGAATATCATGCTGATGATATAATGTCAAACATGTGATCTTGAACAATTCACACTGTGACATTCATAGATCACAGTGTGGGGACAGTCAGGGCAATGTGAACAACCAAACGGTGTAAAATGTTACACAGTTTTTATCATAATCTTGCATGCCTGACCTTTCTAGTGTATGCACAATGGGGTGTTTAATTCAACCTTCCTCTCACACATACTCGTATACAAACGAGGGAGATACTTACAGCAAGGGCACTTCAACGATCAGGTGAACAAGGTTGGATAACAGCTCCTCAAGGAGATCCTGGCTGCCTGTTTCTACACATGGGATTGAGGGAGTTATTATATAAGGCATTCATGACAGCTCCCTGTTGATCAGTCAGTCTCTCTTTGCTCCTTCCTTCCCTTCATCCATATTTCATGCTCACTGTACAGAGGACTGGCATTGAGAGAAATTAGCTAATTGGGATTACAGGATTTCTGCAGGGTTCACCAAGTTCAATTCGAAACTTTTTAAAGGTGTTTTTAATACCCCATAGAGTGCAATTTAAGACCTGTTTCACATTCACACCGGCCAAAGTATGAAAGCGTGATGGAAAACTAGTAATGGTCTACATGTGGCCTAGATTTATTTATTATTATATTGGCGGGGGGATCCTAAGAAAGACAGAGGAGAGAGAAAGGATGACACGCAGCAAAGGGCTACAGGTCAGACCGCTGCAGCAAAGACTCTGGTAGCCGTGGTACATGAGGCGCCAGCTGCACCGGGTGAGCTACCGGGCGTCGCATTATATGCCATTTTTTCAGTACTTCCCAGCAGTATCTGATATACATAATTAAATTAACATGACCTGGACAAGCAGCATAAAATGGATGGATGGATTAACCTGTTTAAAAAGATTAATTAATTTAGGTTTCTGCTAAATTGACGCTTGCCCATTATGGAATGATGAGCTTCAAACCAGCTGTAGCTAGCATTAGTGATATGATACTGCTTGCTACAGGTCTGATTGTGCTAGCTGAAACTCCACAAAAAACTTCAACATCCTCCTGCAAACACAATCCACTGTCGCAACAATTGCCTTTTTTGTGTTAATAGGTGTATGATGTCTACTGACAGCCTACATTTAGATACAAAAACAGTATAAAAATCACAAAAACATCACTGTCTACAGCAGTAAAGGAAAAGGAAGGAACTGTACTGAATGTTTGTAAGACTTTTAAAAGACCTGCAGATGCCCTGGATTATCTTCTCTTTGTCACTTTCAACAAGATGTAATTAGCTCAGTGTCATTTTACAGGCAAATCACAGTCACAATCAAATCATCCCACATGCTAGCTCCAATCCAAGGTCTGTAGGGAGTTGACAATGTCATCTTTTTTTTTCTTTTAGCTTTCCTTCTGTGTACATGAGCACAAAAAAGGTGTTATAGGATTTACATTTACGGTCGTCACGTCGTTAAAAGGGGGGCACACATTTGCAGAGTGTTTATTTAGGGACTGTAGACAGGACTAGTGTTTGAGGCAAAAAACTGATGTGCAGTCAGTGGAGTCTCTCAGAGACAGCTGATCCAGGTCAGTAGCCAGGGGTATTTGTGCTCAATTAAAAAGCCAACTTCTTATCTCTCTTTCGGTATGAAGGGAGGTGTTACACATTTGACCCTTGTGACTATATTGTAATAACTCACACCTTATGAGTCTACTGGGAGCCTAACACTTCCAAGGATGTTGTTCATAAGATTTCCCAGCAGACGATATGGATTTTAGTGTAAAGTACACTCAAGTGTAAAAATGTTTTAAACTGACTTGAGAGGCCATTTGTATAAAATGAGTCATTTCAAAATAATTTCTGACTCAAAATCAGTTGTTGAATCATGTAAGGCGGATTTCTTTATGCAATTTGTGCCCCCACTTTAATCGCACTGTGGCACACCTTCCTTTTCCAAATGAAGAATCTGTGATGGAGCTCACCTCCACAGGAGCCTGGTGCCCTCTCCTGGTAGGAGAACTGTAGGTGCAGCTCTTCTTCGCTCATCTCCCTGATGAACACCTTGAGCAGGCAGCGAATCATGAACAGTGCGTTGTGGGCCTGCCAGATAAACAGCTGACTGCGGAGGAGAAACATTAAAAAAAAAGGACTTCACGTTCCAGGTCAAACATACAACTGAGACAGAAATAAATGCTATGCTGGCTATGGTTTATGTCCTAAATTTACCAGGGAAAGCTTGGCTTACTGTGTATATTCTTGTGCTTCCAAAATAATGACATTTGCCTTTTCATATTAACGTTTCTTTAAAAACTTTTCTTAATGGCTTGTCTAAAAAGAAAGCAGACTGAATAAGAGCGACTATACAAAAAAGCTTTTCATATGCATCTCCCTGTACTAGTTACCACCAAAAAGTAAACTAGTTACATCATGACTTTTGTTATAAACTCCCAACTGATGTGAAATCCAACAAGCTAGTTACATCACTGGATTCATTTTTGTAATCATGCCCGGAAGCTAGCTTGGAAGACAGAAACGCATTCAGCAGCTGGAAATATTCCCATTGCTTTGATTTTAACAAACAAAACTAGATTTTAATCACGGAAAGGAAAGTAATATAACGAGTAGTATAAATAATTGCTGCTGGCTGGGGGTAGTATGTGAAGTAATAATATTACTTTCGAAAAAGACTAACGAGTAATAAGTAATAAATTAAATGTTTTGAGTAACGAGCCCAACACTGCATATGACAGAGAACAGAACTGGCAAGAATTTGCAGAGAAACAAATAAAGAGGAAAACAAGAAATGATTGGAACCATCCAGTGCAAGCCACAATGTTTCACAACCACTAAACGCCAACACGGGGGTGTCTAATCAGTCCCACAAATTGACAATTTGCACAGGCCAATTATGTCAGACCCAGAAAATGTAGGTTTGTTTATGGGACAAAATCCGTTACGAAATGTGAGAAATATATGGGAATGAATGGGGAGAGATAACTCCAACCTCTAATGATGTTTAATAGAGAATGAAGAGGTCCCGCCCGAAGCGTTTTGTGACTTGGGCAGGGTCAATCTCTGTGGAAATGTTGCTTGGCAGTGAGTGCAGAATAATGCCACATGTGTTGATGGTTATACCTCAGCAGTTTTCTCATGGGAAACTACAACCACTTCAGTATTTCTTCCCTGTAAAAATAAGGATTCCCTGACTGCCTGTGATCAAACAATAACTGTCCTGCACTCCCACACAGCAAACACTGACATGCACAGTGTCTATCATTACCCACACAGTCATTCCAGTCCATTATCTCCCATACTCAGGTTCCCATACTTACTCTTGGCATTCTGTAGAGATTTTCAGCTCTTTGGTTCTTCCCAGGAAAATTCTCACAAGAGCGCCAAAGTTTCCCGTTCTGGGATTGTTTTCAACTTGGAAAAAAAAATTGGAGAACTTATCAGCAGCGTTACATAAGCTAGAGAAACAACCTAATTCGATATTTGGCAAGCAAACAATAAAAGGAAACAAATGTTTATTTTTTTATTTAAACTTGATATTCATTGCAACCAAGGTATTGGCCAGTAAAAAAACACACACAAAGCATGTTAATATTATAGGCAACGTACTCAGGATCTTGGCCAGGGGGATCACAGCCTCTTCCAGCAACTTGGATTCTCCACTGTTTTAAAGGAAAAACAGGGAAGAGAAGATACTCAAAATATATGCATGAGCAAATAGATTGCTTGTATCATTTACTCTCTGCCATGCGAGAAAACTACACTATAATTAAACACAAAAAACATTCAAATAGTTTGTGTGCACAGTGACAGAAAAGAGAAAATCGAAGCTATATAAATGCCCCTGTCATGTGCCATCATGTCATGCTTGTGTGCAATATGCTTCAAGGGAAGCGCCACTCATTTTTGACAGCACAACCTATCATTGTCTGCCCTTCGGATATTACTGTGATCATGAGTGAAATACCTTTAAAGGATTTTATGACATTTTGGGAAATATTCTAATAATTGCTTCTTTCTTTTTTTCAGATAAGAATACTAATAAGACGTCTCATGTCTGTATAGCTCAAAGTTAGGGATGTAATGACACTCAATTCACGAATTGGAGAAAGATTTGATTCTTTTTCTGTTGTCTTTCTTAGATTGCACAGTTATATGTCAGCCAGGCTGATACATTAAGTATAAAGCATATTCCCTACCTATTCATACAAAAATATATGTACTATTTCAGTGCAGTTATTTAGATAATCAGTTAATTTTAGGAAGCATTCGTTTTACCCAAAACTGCCATGAATTATCTAGTTCCAGCTTTACAATTAACTACATTTGTTTGGGGGGGGGGTTTGGGAATGTTTGTCAAAGAAGGCAAGCAATTCCCAATATACATTAACCCTAACTCTTGGAACTCGTGATAGCATATTCCTCGTCTTCATTTTCTGACATTTTACCGACCAAATAATCAATCAAGAAAATAAATGCCAGCTTAAGCAATAAAAATGAAAATGATAATTAGTTAACGACTTACACCAGCCTCTCTCTCTCTTCCCTAGTGCTTATATGTTCACTTCTTTGACTTTATGGCTTGTGTTTGTATCAAAATACATTTCTAAAAATGAAAGACTTGGTTAAGACAGACAATTGTTTTTATTGTATGAGGAAAGTATAGCCCAACAGTGAGCAGGATTGTTGCTTAAGTGCACAAGCTCTGTTAATGATGTTACAGAGACGAATGAATGAATCCGTTCACAAGATTAATATTTAACATAAGTTATAGTCCAGGAGGAAATAAAGTGTCTTTACTTCTCAGCAATTCCATTTCTGCCAATAGGTCCTCCTAAATGTTACACACTGGACTTTTAATGAACAACTTAACAGTCAAAAACACCAAACGTATTGAGTGTCATAGTTCTGCACCTCAAATCCTAAACACAAGGTTATTTATGAGCTTTCTGCTGAGCTTTCAACTGCATCGTATGCCATCATAAGATGCAGCTGAAAGAGATGAGACTGGAAGCTCTGGAGAAAGCTAGTCAGTGGAGCTTGTGTTAAGATTTTTTTTTTGTCTAACTAAGCATTATAAAGTATTCACACAAAACAGAAAAAGCAGGAAACATTTGTGAAGCGGCAACCGGGGAGTTTTAGTGCTCCGACATTCCTGAAACTAACAATCCTTATTTGTTGGATTCCCCCCCCCATTAAATGACTTATAGTGCTGCAGCCTTTAAGTACTGAACTCTGACATTCTGGCACATAATCGGAAACTTTCAATGTGCGTGCTTATGTACCTGCTGGTGGGACTGATGAAGGTGAAGGAGATGAGCTGGTTCCAGAAAGGGTCGTTCTCTGATATGGACTCCGTGCCAACCAAGGCCTTGAGGCTGGGGTTATCGGAAAGGTCACTGACCTGGCTGGTGTTGGCACCCATCTCTACTGGCTCCACTCAGCCAGACTCACCGCTCTTCACTGCTTTTTCAACAGGCATATGCCAAATCCTGGGGCAGAGCAAATTCTTTAATGGTTGGTGGCATCACAAAGATTAATAATTAACACATCTGCCAGCTGTTGTTTTTCCAGAAAAGGTCTAATTAGCTCAGTAAAAACAAGCAATATCCATGCTAATTTGATGACCATAGACCAGAGTGTGATTTAAACAAATCTTAGGTCACTAAAATGGCAAAAAATTGCCCATACAAACATCCATGTACAGTAGGAAAGCCAGTAGGAGATGTAACAGCACATAAGTAAGATTCATAATATAACTTACACTTGTATTAATGATCAAAACCATAATTACTACTTAGATTAAACATCACTTCTAAATCGTGTTGCCATTGTAGATCTCTAATCTATTTCAAATTAAATTTCTTGACTGGAGCAATTATGCAACCAATTCCAATACAATCATTCATAAGAGAGGTGGTTCACTACACACAAGGAACCAGGCAGGATGTGTTTTTTGTATCCCTGAAATGACACACCTTTGGCACACAGGTGTAGCCAGCGAGCCAACATTTGCCCAAGTGAACTGGAGCACAATAGAAGCACACAGTAAGTGATAAACAAAGGCATTTTGTTTGTGCTTCTCATATATTAAAAAAAGGTAACACACAGCTGAGTTAAGAGTATATATTATTGTCTCATATAGGTGAACAGACTAGTGTGACAGGGCATCATCTGGTGCCCAGTGTGCTTCTGTCGTGCGGCTTTAGCTGTAACATTATCTGCACATAGTGTGACTGCACTTGTATCTCATGCTCCAGTTGACCAACTTGCATGACGTGAGCTAGCTCATCCTGTTTTTTTTTTTGAAGTGCGGGAAATACACTGTGCCACGCCAATTCTGACTGTCAACACGCCACACTGACTGTCCCAGATAAGCATGAACCCACAGCTAGGGAAATCACTGACTCGTGATCGTGTCCGGTTAACCGCTGGTTAATAAACTCAGTGTCCAGAAAGCAGCTAACGTCCACTGCTGGTGTATCAGCTGACCGCTCGGCTTACCTGTCATAAATGCTTCTCGCAGTTTCCGCGGCTCTCTCGACTCCCAGGGTCGTTAAAGGGCGACTGTTTGCTTTACGGATATTTCTACTTTAATCCGGTTTGTTTATCGGGCGAACGTTACACTGGCAAATACCTACAATTCTAGGGAATTTGAGACAATTAAGTTTACTCTACATACCCCTGTCCTCCATGTTTTCCACGTCGCCACCCCTTACGTAATGACGACATATGGGCGTTGATTACGTCGATGACGTTGCAGATAGAAATAGGACCAATAGATCCCAGTGGCTGATCTAGACTTTGCTTTTCTACCTGTTTAAAAGGGCTGTGAAGTATTTAAACACATTTTGTAACTTTCTGGAGGAACTCCTTTTACACAAGACCTGCTATCATGTTTATACTGTTTATTTATTTTTATTTATTCTTTGATTAAACTTTAAGTTTGACTAAGGAAATATATCATTCAAGTGTATAACTTACATACAAGAATACACAAGTACACTGTCTGTATCGATTCAAAAGAAATGCCATTTTTCCTTGTTCTTGTAAAATGAGTGACAAAAAAAAAAGTCAAAACCAGGTAAACTCAATTTGGGAAGCATTCAAAAAGGAAGGGAAAGCCAGGCAAATATTTTAACAACAAGGTGATGTTGTTTTACACAGGACATAAAAAGAAATAAAGACAAGATATAAAAGACAAATAAATAGGATTTTAAAAGAGTCAAATATAACAGAAGACAAAAACAGGTTAAATTGAATTAAACATATGAAACAGGAGAATAAAGGTTACAGCGCAGAATACGATGAATAGTCACATTTAATTTAATAAAGTGGCACATATTAAAGTTGAATGCCTGGATTTGAAAGAACTGCAGTTCGAGCACACCACCAGTTTTCTGGGAGGTCGTTTTTGGTGCATAGAAATTGAATGCTTTAGTTTTGACTCTGGAAATGGTAGCCAGACCTGTCCCAGACAATCTGAGAGGTCTGGATGGTTCATAAGGTAACAGCAGGTACTCATCCTGAAACAATAATTTATTTACACTGTGACAGAAGACAAGACTCCAGGAACCTCTTGAAGAGCCACAACAGGATGGGGATGACAGGGTCAAGCATGTTGTATTTTTAATTTTTTGGCTCTTCTCAGTCCCTGTTCCCATTCTTCAAGTGCCTGTGACTAAAAACATGCACTGTGGGTTTGAATGTTTCAGAGTTTCTAACTATAACACGTTTTTACTTTTCACAAGTAGTGCCCAAGAAACGTATACAATGCAATTGGTCGCATTTTATAGATTAGTCATAGTCACGCAAAACTAAACCTGCAATCGGAGTAAAAAGTGAAAAGATTTCTGGGGCCCAAACACTACGGAGGTCCACAGAGGACATCAATAATCATGGCCATCCTGATATAAGCATCCAAATTTTATTTTGAACCAAAATACTCACCATTACTTATTAAAACAACAAATATTTTATTTGTAAAAACACCTATATATGTGTGTCTACTCTGACCTAATAAATTCTTAATTATTTTTTCATAATGCATGCCAAATTTCCACCTCAGCACAATTTTACACAGGTACGATATTGCTGTCACATTTATTTTATCTAAAATCAAAATCATAAATTTTATCAAAATTTATTTGTTCATTACTTTACAATATGAAGTGAGCAAGCTAGTTGAAATGGAAGCACAGCTTAGTATGTGAGTAATAAATGAGCATCTTTTGAAGGTTTTCTTTTATTCATTCATTAAACTGCAAGTTTGACATAGAAAAAAACGATTCCATTAACATTGAATATTCAATACAGTAAATGCATGTATCAATTCATGATTAGCGAGAAAAATATTTTAACAATTACCAAGTTCTTAAAGTGACTGTCAATGAAAAAAATAAAACAAGGTACACACAGTATGGAAGGTTATAAAACCACTCCATTAAAAGAAGCCTGATAAGTTCATTCATAGTTTCTCTATTTTATATTAATGAAATATTTACATTGTGTTTGATGCATTCTAAACATTTGGAGCCGTCAATCCGTCTTCTTATCTGCTGCTATAGTGGATCCATTGGCCGTCGCAGCACCATTGCTTTCAGTCTGAAACACACAAGAAAGAAAATGTTTTATCAAGAACATACAATCACGAAAGAGGCTCAAGAATGACTTCAGTATTAAGCCATGATTACGTCAAGTGAAACCCACACTTTAAATGATGTTAAATATGAAGAAAAAAGGACATTCAGTGTATATAATATTGAATATTCACGCAGCCTGACACAAATAAATAAGTAAAGGAAAAGGGGTTTTATTAATAAAAAATCATGATAACATTATGACTACTCCATTAACTTACCTTGAGAGTCCCATTGCTCTTTTCACTGACTTTTTGGTCACTTGTGCCAGTCTCCTGGACGGCTTTTTTAGTCCAGAACGTATTAATTATTGGTGAAATAAAAGGATAGAGGAAAGGCTCCAGGAACCTCTTGTAGACCCACAACAGGACAGGAATCACAATACAGGGAATGCACACCATGACTGTGGCTCAGACAGGCCGCCCAAAATGAAGAACCTGAAGCGAGAGAAAGTAGACACAGAGACTGGTTGTTCAAAAAGAATGTGTGTATATTGGATTCATTGTACAAGACACGTGAATAACCTGTCACTATGACTATAAGGTGAACATTCATTTGATTTTAAAAGTTTGGTTCAACCCTTACATAACTGTTCATGAGGTCACCTGAAATAAAGTAGTTAAAACTTAAAAATAGGTTATTAAAGTCCGAGCAGCTGTCTAAAATAAAGACTGGTAGAACTGTGGGTGTGTGTGTGTGTGTGTGTGTGTGTGTGTGTGTGTGTGTGTGTGTGTGTGTCGACAAACACTGTAATCTCGACGTCATCGGAGTGGCTGTTCGCTAACGCTAGCTTCCTAGCATCGCTCGGTGGTGAACGTAACAGGTATGAAGATGATTTTAACTCACCTGCGGACTAAAAAACATTTTCTATCCATAACTGAGTTATAATTCTCACCTCTTGAGATCTTCAAACACCACTGTTGTCACGTACTGTCGATGTAGAAAGGATATTTCGCCTGTGTTTTGGACCCTGCTGCGAAGTCTCTGGAATGCGATTACACATGCGCAGAAGCTTCTTCTTGTTCTTCTGGTTTTCAGTTTATGGCGGATTGCAATCATTTACTTTAAAGGTGCATACCGCCACCTGCTGGACCGGAGTATGTAGACATGGGTTTTACACATTTTACATTGCTTTCAAATGTGCAATTAAAGATAGAAATTAGATTTTTTTTTTTTTTTTTAAAGACAGACTAACCTATCCTGAGATCTTGTGATATAACTTTGTATCCTTCAAAAATTCTGTTATGTTTTTCTGTGCATCCTTTACCTCTTCTCCAGGTGTCCCCAGTGCTTTCCTGATCCTTTGTATAAGCCGTTTTCCTCTCTGCCTTATGTTTATTACAATTCACAAATATGTGTTCTGCATTTTCTATTGTTTTTAGTGAGTTTAGTTTTGTTTAGACCTCTATAATCAAATCGTATTCTAGTTCAAATGACTTCTTCCCTCCTATTTTTTCTCCTAACACCCTGTGCATTTATTTATTTATTTCTGTCATTTGTAATATGACCGACCCTTATTATTCCCTTCTTTAATTTTCGCTTGTCCTTCCCCTTTACTAAAAGGAATATCTACAATATTTTTGCCTTTTTGTTGCACTTTTGGTAATTTTGCCTGCTCCTTCATTCCCTTTAATGCCGACATGAGCAGGTACCCAACAGAATCGTATATCTTTACCTACTCTATGTAATCAAAAGAGGCTCTGATACATTTCTAAATACTTGTCTAAAGTCTTGTCGTATTGATTTTTATGAATTTTATACTGAATGACACTGCAGCATAATCTGCATCTACTAGAATAACACTGTCTGGCATAACTTGTTCAACCCACTGTAGCCCTATAATTACTGCCAACATTTCAGCTGTATAAATAGATAAATGGTTTGGCACTTTTTCTCCTTTTTTAGTTTTAATTTTTGATGTGTAAATCGCTATGCCTACTTTCAATCCAATCCAATCCAACTTTATTTGTTAAGCACTTTAAAAACAACCAAAGTTGACCAAAGTGCTGTACAGGAGAATAAATAGGACATCATAAATGTAAACAGTGATGGTGATGATGAAGACCACTGTGAGGAATATAGACAGTGATGGCAACAACACTTTGCCTATGTTCATCTTTAGAACCATCTGTGTACAAAAAAAAACCTATAGCATGTGTTTGATATATATATATATTTTTCTGCCATATATCCTCTTTTTCCCCTTCCCTACGGTGGCCCTGAGGTGCAAATCACAACAGCAAATCAGAAAACACAACACAAAAAGAGAAAACACAACAGCAAATCAGAAAACACATAGATATGGACTATTGGAACCCCTGTTTCTCCCTCTCTTAGGTATCCCACATTAACATGGACGTATTAATACAATATTTTCCTCATTTAGTGGTCTGAATTTTCAGATTTGGCAATTTGAACGCATAGGTCTGGCGGTGTTGTGTTTCCGGTTCAAAGGACGGACCAGTTCTTTTGTCCAATCAGCGACGAGGGTACCTACCTTTTCCGGTTTGGTTAATGTCGTTGTGTTTTCTCTTTTTGTGTTGTGTTTTCTCTTTTTGTGTTGTGTTTTCTCTTTTTGTGTTTTTCTTCTCTTTTGTGTTGTGTTTTCTTTTTGTTGTTTTTTTTTTTGTGTTGTGTTTTTTTTCTTTTGTGTTTTTTTTCTTTTGTGTTGTGTTTTTTTTTGTGTTGTGTTTTTTTTTGTGTTGTGTTTTCTCTTTTTGTGTTGTGTTTTCTCTTTTTTGTGTTGTGTTTTCTGATTTGCCGTTGTGATTTGCACCTCAGGGCCACCGTACCTTCCCATCCCTTCTTTAATTCCATTACTTTGAGATCTACTTCAGTGATTGGGAAGAGCCACAGGAGAATAGGGGTTGTGGAGCATGCGCAGAACACACTTCCTTAGAATAAGACAGAAGCGGATGTTCGTACATTGACAGCGGGGCGCCTTTCTTCAAAACACAACCGTATGAGAGTCTGAACTTCAATATGTAAGTTACTGACATATAATCATAGTTCCCAGTAACATTTTTTAAAAAGTATGCTGGGTATCACGCTACATGACTCTAAAACTAGCGACAGATAGTTATTTACTTTGTTTTCAACTTGGCTGCCATAAAGCCTAGCTTAAAATAAGTCGATACCAGACAGCAAAATGACAGTTTTCGTGCGTTTATGGTACAATTAACATGAACCTTTTCGGCCATTCAACGGTGTAATAAAGGAGGCATTCCTGTTAACACGTGTAACAAGTTCTGCGTCTTCATTTCAGTGCCACCATGCCTCTGTCAACACAGTCGCAAGCCGATGATGAACAATACGTTTTAGTGGCCAGTCTGGATAATGCTCGCTGTCTGTCCAACATACTGAAAGCTATCACCTTCAAAGACCATGCCATCTTCAGCGCTACACCCAACGGCCTGAAGGTCACTGTGGAAGACTCGAAATGTCTGCAAGCCAATGCTTTCATCCAGGTGTGTTTGCCTTAGTCTTTATTTTCCCCAAATTAAGTTTCTGTCCTATCATGGTAATACTTGAAAATGTCTTCTTTTTTTTTATTCCAGGCTGAGATCTTCCAAGAGTTCACCATAAGGGAAGATTTGGTGGGTTTTCAGGTCAACCTCACTGTTCTACTGGACTGCCTCAATATCTTTGGAGGAAGCACAGTACCAGGTATAGAAGGACACCTGGTTGTTAATCTTTTTAGTTCAATTATTATCCATATCGGATACGACGTATTTTTTAAAAATGATCTCCTTCTTGTAATGTTGCAGGAGTATCAACAGCCTTGCGGATGTGCTACAGGGGGTACGGTTACCCTCTCACCCTGTTCCTGGAGGAGGGTGGGGTAGTGACTGTGTGCAAGATCAACACACAAGAACCCGAAGAGCCAATTGACTTTGAGTTCTGCAGCACCAACGTCACAAATAAGGTGGACTTTTTCATATAGTGAAAGATATATGGCAGATGGGGGGGAAAAACCACACAATAAACTCATAGTAACCCTGAGTATATAACTGATTACTGCTTGTGTACCACTGGCTCTTTTCAAAGGTGATCCTGCTGTCAGAGAGTCTCAAGGAAGCCTTTTCTGAACTGGACATGACCAGTGAGGTGCTACAGATCACCATGTCCCCCAGCCAGCCATACTTTAGGTGTGTTGTCAAAACCTTTGAAGCATCACTACTTGTTCTACAGTTTAGTGTTTACAGGACATTTGGCTGATGATTATGTAAAACATACGTACATTTCACCTCCTTTCGATAATTTAACTGTCCAATCTTTTAAGAAAAGACTTATTTTATAAATATTGCTTACAGATGCCTCACACTATCTTTCAGCTACATTGTTCTTTGCTTTGTTCTGCTCTTCAGGTTGTCTACATTTGGGAACTCTGGAAATGCCCATTATGATTATCCCAAAGACTCTGACATGATGGAACTGTTCCGATGCACCAAAACACAAACCAACAGGTGAGTACAGAGAACTAAACTATGCTGTTACGGCCCTTAGGTGGACTTGGGGAACTGGAGACATGACAACCAGAAGAAACGAATAGCAGAGGATGATTTGACAGAAAAAAAAAATACTACTACTTTTGTAATAGACTTTTTAAAGAGCAAGTTAATATTAATTATTAATTAATTTTGTCTCACTGAGGCCAATCCTTTTGTTTCAGTATTTTTATATGGTCGTCTCTAGTACCGCATACTGAGGAACATTCTTCCCATAATGAGTGTGACTGAAGCTCCACATTCTGTACTGTTCTCTCTGTTAACTGTTACAGGTACAAGATGTCCCTGCTGAAGCCGTCCACCAAAGCCCTGGCTCTCTCCTGTAAAGTCTCTGTGAGGACAGACAGCAGGGGCTTCCTCTCTCTACAGTACCTGGTCAGGAATGATGACGGACAGATCTGCTTTGTGGAATTTTATTGTTGTCCTGACGAGGAAGTGGAGTAGGAGTGATTACAGTCCACTGAATTCCTCTTTAAATAAGCATCTCGACTTCAGCGGCGGCCAGTCGCTTTGAATGAGAAGACAAAGTCTGCCAGAGGAGGCAGTGCAGCCAGTGGGGAGCACACAGGAAAACAATGCTGGACTAAATGGGCACAGTGGGAAAGGTTGCGTTGTTACAACTGGTTCATCATTTGCCAAATGGTCAAGTTTGAGTGGAGCATCACCACGTGGAAGATAATGTCACCTACATGGTGTTACGTACCTGTATGAAGTTAGACCACCGTCATACTGAGTTCATAATTTAAGACGGATACGGAAAATGACTGTGCAGTTACTGTATATTGTATTGTTAGTTACTATGGAGACACAGTTATTGGGAGTTATTGTTTGTAGTCCAATTGCAGCCATGATTGTCTGTGTTAAGTATTTTAGCTCATCTTTCTGGAGCCTCTTCTGCATTTTTTCCTTTGACTTGTGCACTGAGCTGGTTGACAGCCCATAAAAGAGGGTATCTATAGACACGGCACAATGATATTTTTCTGGATGTGTCTGTCGTAGTGTGTACAGTAATCTACACAGGCCCAGGACTATACATACATTGCCATAATGGCCGTTCATGTTGAAAGTATATTTTAAAAACCATTTGTTTGGAGTATACATCAGATGATACAGTTTTGATTATATTTTATTTCCATGACACAGAAAACAACTGTAGCCACTCAAAAGCAATAAACAAGGTTTTTCTTACACTTATGGAATATTTACTTTTATCAAAAAAAGACGGGCAAATTGTAAAAGCAGAGACCTTTATGGCCAGCTACAATCTGCACAGTCCTCCTGAAGGAGGGAGCAAAATATATATCGTGTGAAACCACCACAAACTATGGCAACAGACATTGAACACAACCTGTTCATTTTAAGATTTTCTCCAGAACTGTCAAATATGTGATCATTAAATGATGACATGTTGCACAGTCTTTACAATCCAACAAAAAACTTCTGACTGCACTGTTGCTTTACCACATTTTCTTGAGACAAACCATACCAGTAGTAAGGCATTCACTCAGCTTTATTCAGTCCATCCAGTTACCTGCGGGCCATCCTTTGTCTTTTGAAAGCTTTGTGTTTGTTCTTCTTCACCATTTTTGGCTCAGGTGCTTCTGTCTGGATGTGAACAGGCTTCTCATCAGCTGGGGTTAGGAAGACGTCGGCTGTAACATCCCTGGCCAAATCCTCCTTCGCTTCAGTCCTCTTCATTTTCTGCATCTCCTTCACCATCTGTTTCTCACGCACTCTGGCTGCTGCCGCCAGTCGGATTTCTCGCCGGTGCTGTGGATGTGTGAAGAGAAAAGTGACTGACAAAATCAGGAAATGCATCATGTAGCGTGGTCATGTATCAGGAGCGTGAAATGAGATTCAATATAACATCACACGCTTACAATGTAAACTAGCATGCACTGAATTTTACCATGTTAGGAGACTGGAAGTCTGGGTTTTCATAGAGCGTAGGCCCTCCAAAGCTCCCTTGAAAGACCTTGATGAGGTTGAGAACAAAGCGGGGGCCGACCTCCACTAGAGAGGCATCTTCCTCGATGATCTGAAAGTGGTACAGAGAAATTATTGCAGATGGAGAAGAAGAAGTCTGACTAGTGAACCCACAACAGAAGAGCTTCTCACAGCAATATTTACTAATTGCTAATGTAAGCCTAGAACACTAAACTACTTATACATTACCTGGTAGTTTCTAAACCATATCCTGTTGTCTGCAATGGTGAATGTGAAGACGTGGTCCACAAAAGGCTGACTCTTAGGGTGGTAGCGTGGAGTGGAAAATGTCTGCAATAAGAAAACGTAATGAGTAATTCCTTAAACCTGGAACAAGGAGTTTTCACTGTTTATGAAACAACCTCAACTTAATACCGATGCCTCTATATGACCTACATAAGACAGTCAGGGTCAGATTCCGCTTAAAAGAAATGAAACAAGGCAGTGGAGACACTTCCACTTTGGTCGACAGGGGCTGCCAGAATTGACAAATGTTCCTTGTTGTAGCTTTACATTTAAAAAATTAAGATAAACAACCTCCTCAGCTAGTAGGTAAAAGCTTGTTTATGGTTACATTCACTGCTGGATCTAAACAATGATCAGTGTTGACACTGTTCACATCATATTACACTAAATAAACTTGGAGTTTTAGCAATTTAATGCTGAACAGAAGGTCTACTTTGGAAGGCCATTACCAAAAGCATAGCCAGGATTAATGTATGCATCTTCTGATATACGTATGTATTGTATACACACCTGGGTGAAGAGCTCCTTTAGTAAAGCATAGTGGGGCTCCTTGTCAAATTTCTAAAGAAGAAAACAGATAGAGGTTATTCAGGTTCTGACAAGTTCCTAACTTACATGCAGACTGATGGGCAATCATGGACCAGGAATGTAAAGAGTGTGCTGGTTTTTGGTCATATTCTAGTAAAATCTAGAATAATGAGTTTGGTACATTTTATGGATTGTAAATAGAGCTGTAAATACAGGTCTATGTGGCACACAGCTCCCTGTCACAGACATATACTCCTAATATAATTATGTTCTTGATGGAATTACTAACAAAATGTGCTACAGCTACTCACAGGATCGAACGAGAGCAGCGGCCTGGATCCTTTGAGGCAGTTTCCTGTCATCTTGAGTTCAGCCAGTGTATGAACTGCGGAGGAAACAATAATATAAATCAGTTTTCCCCCCTTGGCACATTACAGATGTTGTTTACTGCACTTCAGGACTGTAGGACAGAAGTAACTCACTGTTTTGAACTAGAAACTTTGCAGAAGGGCCATGGGGGCTGTTTGAAATCCTAGAAGGGAAGAACATTATTGATTTTACTATAAATTTGTTCTACAACATTAATTACAGAAAGTCTGCTTAATGTTAAGGGAATGTGACGTAAAAATACTCACCACATGTAGAGGTCCTGCTTCTTCTTGGCCTCAAAAAAGAGGCATTTGTTGCAGTTTTTGATTTCACACACCTGGGAATAATGCAGATCTTTAGGTATACTGTGATGCAAATGCTTATATATAAAGTGTGTCCAAATTTTAAATGACAAACTCACCTCATTTACAACAAACAACTTGTCCTTTCTGTCCATTTTCGTATCTAAAAGACAAAAGAAAAACCTTGTTATTATGACTGTAAACATTGACAAAACCCATTTCTCTGCATGGAATACTGTATATGAATGATAGACGGTACTAACCTGCTTTTGAATGAGGCATCATGGTCCTTAGGTCTTGCATCAAGTGTCTTGTTCTGAAGTTGATGCCTCTTGAGGAGAAAATGAGAACCCTTTCCTTGTTGGTCCATTTACCCTGTTTAAGAGAATGAACCTCATAACATCAGAACAAACCCAACAACGCTTATTATTATTTTTTATTGTGGATTTTAAAACACTTTCCCCTTCACCAAGCTCATTTTTCATCATTTCTAACAGGACGTGCTAAGCAAATCAAATGTAGAGTTCATCAGAGATCCTTGATTGCCCAATTAAGAATGGGAATCCTTCCCCTGGCACTTGAGGTCGGCAGATTTAAAAATATCCTAGAAGAACAGAGACTTTGTGAACTATGTGATTTACGAGAAGTGGAGAATGAATCTCATTTTCTTTTATACTGTCCCTTCTATGATGAACTAAGAGTACCTGTTGTAAATGAACTGTTTGCTCAAAACCCTGAAATATTTTGGAGTAATGATGATGTTGGGATGGAATGTTTGTTTACCTTTAATGTTTATAAGTTAGTCTCTTTTGTTACTAAAGCCTGGATGAAACGTCAGGATGATTTATATCGTTAATGTTAGTATTGTTTAGCATCTACTTTTGGTTTTTGGTCTGCTTGTGTTTTATAATGGTGTCTTGCTAATGCATGACACAATAATAATAAAAAAAAATGTAAAAAATTCATTGTAGCATGTTTTCTGAGTGTTTTTGAGTGTTGGGCATGTTGTGATTTAACCACTTTCTCTTTACCATGCAACACATTTAATAACACCATCCATTGTGCTTGTTCCAGCTACAGGGTGTTAGCAATTTCTACAAAATAATGGCATTTAATAACCCGAAAAAGGAAAATATAGCCCTGGTGTGTTGGTGAACTAACTAGCGACCAACTTCAGGGGCTAATAACAAGCACGAGAACTCACCCTCGAAACCGGTGCCGGGATTGTGACTTCATTTCTCTTCTCCTGTTCGGCTTCAACTGCTGCTTCGCCTCCATCTGCTACAAATTTGACTTTCTTTGCCTTTTTACCGACATGAGCCTGTCCTCCACGTTTTCTCTTGAATGCCGACATGTTTGTAAGCCGACACAAGTCTCCAACGCGTCCACGCCACACCACACACGTGTGTACGGCGCAAAGGGAGAGACCCCTAGTGGCGCGGAGGTGGTACTGCGGTACTTCTTCTTCTTCTTTTGAGGGTAGTTGTGTTGTACGGACCCCCAGTAGAGGGCAGTAAACATGCGATTATATATGAAGGATATAGGGTTCTATTATAGGATTTTATTAGGTTTATTTATTCATTTATTATGCTGTAAAGTAGTCTCATATAACCACAACTCACGCTAACATACTCCGGTACAGTAGGTGGCGGTATGCACCTCACGAGTCACATGGTTGCAACCCGCCCGCCATGACACCAAAAGAAGACGGAGAAGAAGCATTATAACGGGAACAAGGCAAAATCTCGCGAGATTTAGCGGCACCAGTACAGATGACGGCTCATGGTCCTAACAACCGGTCTTAGTGGGTAACTATAGAGTCTATAGTGTACAGACATTAGCGTGTAGAAGCTGTTTGCCAGTCATAAACGATAGTCTGCGTATTTGAATATGTAAGGCTAAAACAATACGATATTGTTGCCACCAGCTGAGAAGTCATATGTGTAATATTTACGAGCTGGAATAGAGATGCTGCCGTTAGCTACATGCTAAAGTTAGCATCGTCTGGGACAACGTGAACAACCTTTTTTTTTTTTATTCTAGAGTGAGGTGTCTCTTTTTTTTACAGTTAGCTAACAATGAAGTGTCACTATGAAATATTGGGTGTGAAACGAGACGCGGGAGACGATGATTTGAAGAAAGCTTATCGGAAATTAGCATTGAAATGGCATCCAGGTAAGTTGTGATAGAAAGCTTGTGGACTTTGCCAGGTAGGATGAGAAGTATCCCTGATGTAAAAGTATCAATATTGTTGTGGAGGTAACATTTCTGACATCTCCATATGTTATTTTTTAGTATAGAAGTATTATTAGTGTTGGTTAAGTATCAGAAGTGGGTAGTACTCTTTTCTGGGAATGGTGTGACCGATATTACAGTCAATATTATGATGGTGACTGTGGTTATATTGGCTGTTGTAATGTATGAGTTGATTTCTTTTACATTAAAACCCTATACTGTCTGTAAAGCAAGCAGCTGCACCTGTCAGACAAGTGTAACGTTGATGTAGTAAAAGTACAACATTTGCCTCTGAAGTGTTGTGGAGATAATGCATTTAGGTTTTCCAGCTGAAACTAACTAAAAGAAAGCACTCGCTTTTGATACTGCAGTTGTCTGCAACACTTCACTACCTTTTCTTTTTATTAAATAGTGTGTATTTACTTAACTGCATTTTAATTTGTCTTATGTCATTCTTATTATAAGAAAATTGTAAAGACGCTGTGCTCAAAACTGCTATGTGCTGATATTTCTGTGATGCTATT